CCCCAAAACCCCAAAACCCCAAAACCCCAAAACCCCGGGGTGAAGGAAAAAAATAGATTAAATATAATAATGGAATCCCTGCCGACTTGTTTTAAAGCCAGTTGTAATGACCAAGCTGTGTATCTTGTGGAAGAAGAGGATGTTTATGTGTGAAATCAGCATTTTAGTGGAAGATATGGTGAGTGGTGGGGATAGGGATGGGGGTTTGAGGGGTAGGAGAGTTTTATTTTGGAGAATTTTGGTAGTCGGATTTTAGTCAGCAAAGATCTTGATTTCTATAATTTTTAGCATATGTAAATCGGAAGAGCTTATGGGGATCTAATTTTGTGTTGGGAATTATTTTAAAAGAGAAAAATTCCTTGATTTTTAAAGGTGGTTGTTCCATTGTGAAAAGGCAACCTTCATTTTTTTTACTTTCATTTTTATCTAAAAAAGTTTCTCATTATAAAATAGAGAATGGAATCCCTTTGAAATCACAAGATGATGTTCGTGATAATACAAGCATCCTCAAGCAAGCCTTGAACGTCTTCTCTTGTTTCACTAAAGGAGCCAACAAAGAAGAATTGCCTGAAGATGTAGAGTCTCTATTACAAAAACTCACTAAAGATACAGAAGAAATCCAGACTGAGTTCTCCAAAGTCAAAGACCCAATCCTCTATCATAAATTTGGCATAATCCAAGCCAACATAGACAAAGTGAGAGAGTTTATGGAGAGCGAGCCTTTGTTTAGAGCCTTCATGAGCAATTGGTTTTGGGATTGCATGAAGAAGTATAACTAGATACAATCTCCAAGGACAAAATGTACACCAGGAAGAAAGCAAAGAAGAAAAGAAGGGAGAATCTAATTTTGAACCTTCATCTATGCCTCAGCCTCCTAAAGATCTCAAAGGGAAAGATATTGATAATTATAAAGAAGCCAGCATTAGCAAAGAGAAGCTGAGAGAAACCAAACCCCCTCAAGTTCTGGTGTCAGGAGCTACGTATACAGGTCAATGGGTCGGATCTCAGAGGGATGGCCAAGGTACACAGGTATGGAAAGATGGCTCAAAATACGAAGGATCATGGCTGGACGACAAAGCTAATGGGTATGGCATCCTCTATCATTCAGATGGAGACATCTATGATAGAGAATGGCTCAATGATAAAGCTCATGGAAATGGAAAATACACTCATACCAATGGAGCTACTTATGAAGGAGAATGGGTTGAAGACAAGCAAGAAGGCTTCGGATGTGAGACCTGGCCTGACGGAGCTAGATACGATGGAGAATACAAGCAAGGAAAGAAACAAGGCAATGGAGCACTCCTATTTGCTGATGGGTCTAAATATAAAGGAGAGTTTAAAGGAAATGAGATCAATGGAAATGGACAGTACTCTTGGAAAGATGGTAAATCCTATGAAGGATCATGGTCAAACAATAAAATGCAAGGTAGAGGTATGCTTAGATTTTCAAATGGATCTAAGTACGAAGGTGACTTTGTTGAAGATAAAAGAGAGGGCCAAGGAACATTTGAATGGCCTGATGAGAGAAAGTATATTGGTCCATGGAAATCAGGCAAGCAACATGGAGAGGGTACTTTCATTTCATCTAGCGGAGAAAGGAAAAAAGGAATCTGGGAAATGGGTAAAAGAGTCAGATGGATATAAAATATGTCTTCTTCTAAAATGTTTGTATGCCAAATGCCACTCATCTTGAAATAAAAATAGTACTTAAATTATCACCTTGTTCAATCTTATTTAAGAAATTAGGGGTTTTGGGGTTTTGGGGTTTTGGGG